GTCCCAGATTTGGTAGCTTTCTTTCTCAGTTTCCCCCTCTCTGTCTCTTTGATGAGTGCACGTGTCCTATAGCAAATTTTAAAATAATAATAATGATAATAAATTAAATTAATAATTCTTTTTTTAAAAAAAATGTACGTAGAACATTTAGCATGGTCTTGGCATATAATATGCATTTAATGGATAGATGGTAGCCAACAACAAGGAAAAACGAAGATGATGCTTCGGGCTTTAGGCTGAGCCAAGAAAAAAGCCAAGGTATGAGAAAGTAAGTTTGCAAGTTAGTTGTAAATGAAATGGGACTGAGGAAGGCCTGTTGTTTGCCAAGTGTGGTTTCTTTCTTCATTATCACTTTTTAGAGTCAGCAATGTGGTGTAATTACAGTTCTCCAAAGGTAAGTTCTAAAGGAAAGCAGTAAATGAGGGTGAAAGGGCTTAGGAGATTTTCCTGCTTAGACTATGACCTCCTCGAGGACAAGGATCGCATCTGATTCATCTTTGTTAACAGGAGGTAGGAGGGGCCAGTGCACGACGCTGGATCTTGCTGGATCTTCCGTGGCTGGCTGCATGATGAGAGTCCTGGTTCCAGCAGCTTGAAAATCACGCTGGGTTCATGTGCATGCATGCCAAAATCCCCAGAGGAAAATGAAGGACAGGGGATTGTGGCATGGCCATTACACCTGGGGGTAATTTCTCACTTTCCCTCTCTCTCTCCCTCTCTCTCTCTCTCTCTCTCTCTCTCTCATGCACACACCCTCTAGCAGAAAAATAAATAAAAATTAAAAAAAAAATAGAGAGAGAGAGAGAGGTAGGGATAGGGATTCCAGGACTGGCTTCCCAGCTGTGCTGAGTTCTCCTCCCTTCACAATATTCTTTGGCTTCTGTGGACCTCTTGTGGTTCCTCCCATTTTTCCTGCTTCAATATTGCCTAGGTGTCTGTATTTGGCAGATATCATATGCCTCACTATACATTTATATCATGTTTTTCAGGTAACATTTTCCAAGACTCTTTCAACTTATTCCCATGTGTAGAAAAAGAGACCAAAGTCAGGGCCAGCAGGTGGCGTGGTGGATATGGGTGCTGGATTCCCACATGGCCGACCACGGTTCGAGTCTCGGACCTGGTGGTTTGCTTTCTCACTTTCTCTCTCTCACTCTCTCTCTCTCTGTGTCTTTCTGGTCAAATTAAAATAAATAAATAAATACATAAAATA